CCCCAGGTGCCTGTCGGGGCCTGGGTTTCAGCTGTCCACACCACAGCAGTGGGCAACGAGCTTAAAGCCCCTAATGGCTCTGGGCGCTGACTCTCACCAGTGGCTATGGATGAAGTCACAGGCAATTTTCAGCCAGCGCCGGTACACAGGTTATTTTTAAAGTAAGTACTTCAAGGACTGAGATTTATTAAGATTTAATAAAAGCGTCAAAGATACTCTTAAGTAAAACTGGCTGCTTCTTGCTTTTGTTAGCATTTGGGGTTAAAGAGTATACCGACTGCTGATAAAATTCAGTGCCATTGCTTCAGTCAATGTGAGGCCTGCAGTCCACTATTGCATCAGCGCAAACATCAATACAGTGAAAAGGGCAGCTGTGCCTTAGTATATAATAAAAGCAGCCTAAACCTAGCAGACAAGAAGAAGGTCTCAGGGATATCTCTCCACCACCTTCAAGGGTCCTCAGACACACTTTGAGACCCGATGTGAATAATCTCCTCTCATGTGATTTACAGCCTGTGAAAACCCACTGGTGGGTCACCTATGAGTCTGTTCCAACTCCACAGCACATAACAACATTTTCAGATATTGTTGTGGAGGACATCTCTTCAGGGGACATAGACTCTCTGCTTGTTTTAATGTTTCCTCTCTTTTCCTTTTTCCAGAGAGTTAAGTATTGAGAATTGGATTATGCCTGCAGTTTATGCTGGCCATTTTTCTCACGTAATATGGCTTCATCCCACATGGGCTCAGCAAATCAGAGAGGGCAAGCATCACTTTTTAGTAGGCAAAGACACGTCTACTACAACAATCAGGTAATTTCCTCATTTTCAATCTTAGAAGATTGTTTGAATGCTTTTAGTTTTGACCCCTGTAATTGCTTCATAATTATCTGTATGTAGTCAGGATCAGAATAAGCCCCAAATCCTCCTAAAAGAGTTCCTTTTGAAAACCAGGTACAGGTTTTTGAGCTTCTTTCCCCACTGTTTGTATTTTGTTTCTGGTCAAGTTTTTTAATAGCGTCATCTCTGACATAATTCCATTCATGACTAACTCCAAGAAATAGTTGGTGTTTTACATGTCAGTGTTACATACTGCTGTTTCTTCCTAGTTTACCTGTTTGTCAGTTTTAACAATTAGCAGTGAAAGAAGGTGATTATCTCACTTTCTTTTTTTTTTCCTAAAGCCAATGGCTAAATAGATTTAGGGTTTTAGTTTTATTTGTATCATTAACTTTAGATAATTACTTAACCTAAATTAGATGACTATATTCTCTACTAGTTTTGTATGTACAGCAAATTTTGTTCTGTGATTTATTTAACCAGTGTTTTCTGTACTTGTGATACTACAATACCTTTAGATATAAGGTGATATTTTTTCTTCTTCTTCTTGTTATGTGCCGTCGAGTTGCTTGTGACTCATAGAGACCCTAGGTACAACAGCCCTAAACTCTCCTGTTCCAATCTCACTGTCTCCGATACACCCATCCCAATTTTCCAGTCACTGAATCAGTCCACCTCAGAGGGTCTTCCCCTCCTGCGCTGTCCCTCCACCCTCCCAAGCATGATGTCCCTCTCCAAGGACTGGTCCCTCCTTACAACATGTCCAAAGTATGTTAGAGCCTCAGAATCCTTGCCTCCAAGGAGCCGCCTGGTTTAACTCTCTCCAGAATGAACCTGTTCATTTTCTTAGTAGTCCAGCACCATAGCTCAAAGGCATCAGTTCTCCTTCTATCTCCCTAGTCATTGTCCAACTCTGATGGATAACAAGTCATTGCAAAGAGCATAGCCTGTATCAGATGCACCTTAGTCTCCAGAGAGACACCATTGCTCTTCAGTACTCTGGAGAGGTCCCTAACAGCAGACTTTCCCATTGCAATACGTCTTTTAATTTCCTGGCTCCTGTTGCCAAGAGTGTTGACTGTGGAGCCAAGCAAACTAAAGCTGTGAATAATCTCAAATCTCTTCACCATCCATCCTGATGCTGCTAATTGGTCCAGTGGTGAGAATCTTTGTCTTCTTGACATTGAGCCTCAATCCATATTGAAGGCTGCAGTCTTTGACCCTCTGCAGCAAGCGCTTCAGGTCCTCTTCAGTAAATTTTGTTGAGATAAATCATTTAAAAACTATAATCATATCTCTTACATATTGGAGGATACTGTGGTTATATGCTCTTCAATCAGAACCAACACATAGATGACCCACCAGTGGCTTTTCAGAGACTGTAAATCACATGGGAGGAGATTTACACATCTTTCTCCTTTGGAACAGCTGGTGAGTTCAGACTTTTCACCTTCAGGTTGGCAGTGCAACTTGTTAACCGCTAAGCCACCAGGGCTCCCTAAAACTGAAGGATAGTAGTACAATGAAGGATAGTAAAAATGAAAATACATAGAAAATTAAATGGAAATTTTCGTTGGAAAGAACACTTTATTTTTGCTGTGACGCCGACAATAGAAATAACTTTTGTAAGTGTATTCCTGTAACTTGCAAAGTGACTTTATTGTGTGTGTGTGTATATGAACATAGCTTTTATTTCAGATATAATACCCAAAACATTAGATAATTAGGACTGGACATGTAGTAAAATACATTCTATTGGTATTTGTTAAATAGTAATAGAGTGGTTACGGAGCCTTCATGGCAGTTTAGATCCACCAGCCCATGGGAGGCAGACGTGACAGTCTACTCCTTGGCAACCCTGGAAAACACATCTCCTCTCTCCTAGAGGATCCCAGTGTATTGGAATCGATTCCACAGCAGCGGGTTGATTTTGTGGGTAGAATTTTATTGGGTACATCAGTGGATAGGCCTAAGTTAATTGGCAACAGGTTTCTGTAAAATCTAATTATTTTGAGCAGTCTTAATTAGATAATCTTTATGTTGTTATTATTAAGTTCCGTTAAGTCGTAGACGACTCATAGCGACCCTATGAATGAAAGACATGAACACTTCTATAGCTTTCATCGTTTCATCAAGTTCATAGAGTTTCCAGAGGCAAGCTGTTTCAGAACTGAGTGCCACTCCTGCTTCCAAGCTTATTTTAATCAAAGGAGCTCCACCAAACCCTGTCTACCATGGGTAACCATTATCACATTTGACACATCTGTGTCACAGTGTTTAGCATCACAGCAACCACAAGTTACTCTGTACAGCAAATGGACAGATCAGTGCTATAGCACATAAAAGAATGTTTGACCAAAAACAGTTAAAACCAGGCCTGAGGGCCGCAGATTAAAATCACCCACCTTTGGCTTGGTAGCATCACTTTTCATCCACTAGGCCAACAGAGCTCTCTTGTTGTAATAAGAATATTAAAAAGAGTTTGATTATCTCAAAATTTTAGTTATTCCTGATTATTCTGTAAGAGGGGTGTGTGTGTGTGTGTGTGTGTGTGTGTGTGTGTGTGTGTGTACATACATACATGTATATATGCAATCTGAAATGTACATCGTGTGTGTATTGAATGCTGTTGAGTTCAGACTTGGAGAGTATCCTATGGGACATCCCCCAAACTGTTTTCCTGGCTGGCATCTTTATATCATTATGCAAGCACATCGCCAGATATTTTTGCTGCAGAGCCAGGGTAAGTATTTTAGATGATGTAACCCTAACTGTCTAGACTGCAGGACAGTGGGATGAAATAGTAATGCATTAAAGTGAAATATAAACTTTTTTATTGAAAGGAATATTTTTTTATTTCTGCTCTCATCAGTTATAGAGTTAACTTTTGTGTGTCTTCACATCACATGCACAAAAAATGTTGTTGTGTGTACAGGTGAAAATGGCATTTATTAAAGATATAATACAAAAACAATTAGGACTCAGTATATAGTAAAATTCTGTGGGAGAAAGATAAGCCATCTCCTCCCATAAGACTGACCACCTCTCAAAACCTGGCGAGTCTGCTGTGAGTTGGTTCAGACTTGATGGTACACAACAACGACTACAATATAGTAAATAAAAAACCTTACGTTGGTATTTGTAAAAGAGCAGTAGCATTTTGAACTGCCAGCCTTTTGGTTAACTATTGAGCCAGCAGGCCCACTTTGTATAGCTTTGAACAAAGCAAAATCCTATCAATTGATTGAAAGAATACAGATGTTATATTGGGAAAATACTGTTCTTAAAAAACTTAAACATTAGTTTTATTATGTGATTCATCTTTTTAGGAACTTTATATTCCTATGTTTATGACTATATATCCTGGGAAGGTCTGGAGGCTTATTGGTAAGGAATTGCTGTGTCGGCCCAAAGGCTCGCAGTTCAAATCTGCCAGACACTCGGTGTAAGATATGCAGTCAACTCCCATGCAACATACTGCCTCTGAAAACTCACTGGAGGCTCAGTGATGAGTCATTCCCCACTTGATATTACACAACCACAATATGCTGGGGAAAGGAACATAAATCGCAACCATTATTAACATGTTGCCGCACACTTTTTAAATTGACCATGCTTAGAAACACATTTGCCGTCATTTGCGGCAACATGTTAATCTAATAAAGCTCCTCTCTAAAAGGTTCCATCAAGGCGAAACTGGCTCACAGCTAACCCTCCATCAGTTTTCACAGTCAGTAAATCACACGGAGGAGATTACCCATCTTCCTCCTTCATGGCCACACAACTCCTTACCACTGTGCCACCAGAGCTCCAGACATAGGTACAGAGTTTAAGTTGACTGTGCTTTGGGGGAACATAAGTCTCACTAATTATTTATTACAAATTAGAGGGTAAATTATTTCCAAGTATACTTTTTCTCTTCAGTGTTGGTTTGGATAGGATTCAGCTGCTTTGAGCGAAATCCAAAATGGAGCTAGATTAAACAGGATAGCTTATTTTCTCCTAATAGGTGTGCCTGATACAGGCTGTCGTCTTTTCAGTCACTTACTATGCGTCGGAGAGCTGGACAGTGACTAGGGATGATAGAAGGAGAGTTGATGCCTTTGAGCTGTGGTGCTAGAAAAGAGTATTGAATGTACCATGGACTGCTAAGAAAATGAACAGGTTCATCCTAGAGAGGATTAAACAGGGCTGCTCCTTGGAGGCAAGGATTGTGAAGCTTCATCTGACATACTTTGGGCATGTTGCAAGGAGGGACTGGTCTTTGGAGAGGTACATCAAGCTTGGGAGGATGAAGGGACAGGGCAGGAGGGGAAGGCCCTCTAGGAGGTGGATTGATTCAGTGACTCGGGTAATCGGGGTGGGTGTGTCAGAGACAGTGAGATTGACACAGGACAGAGCAGGGTTTAGGGCTGTTGTACATAGGGTCGCTATGAGTCACAGGTGGCTCAGTGGCACATAACAGCAACAAGTGGGCACATACACAGCCCAGGGCTTGTGTCCCACCCCTACAGTTTGAGGGTCCCTGGCTCCTGTATTTTTCCTCTACCACATCTAGAATGTTATCCTTGTCCTCATAATCCAAAGTATTGTTGGCTGCCCATTGTTGTTATGTGCCGTTGAGTCGCCTGCAGCCCATAGCGACCTTAAGTACAACAGCTCTGAGCCCTGCTCCATCCTGAGCCAACCTTACTGTCTCCAGTGCACCCACCATATTTAAATTCTCAGCATCCAAGGAGAGAGCAAGGCTCTGGACACTTCTGTTCTCAACCAAATGATGTGACCACATCCAGCTGTAAGGTGGACTGTGACGTGTCATCTTTATTTTGGGCATTTGTATGCCCAGCTATATGCATTTGGAGAAGACTGTTTCTGTAGAAAAGTGGGAGGTACAAATATTGATGATAACTCAAGCTTTGTTAAGTGGACCCTTCCTACTGTTTCTACCGTGTCTTAGTGAAGAATCAGCTCACCTGTTTATTTTTCTTTAAAAACCATTCTTTCCTCTGATCCAGGGTTACAAGTTCCGATCATTACTTTCTAAGCGATGGTCTTTATGTCCCTGAAGACCAGCTAGAGAACCAAAAACCTTTACATTTGGATGTAATTATGGTAAAACCTCATAAACTCTGTAACAGTCAAGAAGGAAACGCTGCACTGTCTTCTGCTAAGAAGCCAAAGCTAGCACTGCAAGCTGCGGAAAACCCTGCCTCTACTAACTGTGCCTCTTGTTCAGAAGGACTGGAGAAGGACGCAGTGGCAGACAAAAGTGGCCACACTTGCCTGGACCCGGCCTGCTCACCTTCTGAGAGTCGGGAGTGGCAGACCACGGCTGACTCTGGGGATGTTCTGGAAGCTCTGAAGAAAAGGGACTCGTTGGTTTTAGATATTGACTTGGACTTCTTTTCTGTCAAGAATCCTTTCAAAGAAATGTTCACTCAGGTAAATATGAGATTGGAGAATTTACTTCATTTCTCTGGACCATGAATTGACAGACTTTCTGCAAATGGTCAAATGGTAATTACTTTGTTTGGGGGTCTTTTGGCATATTCTTTGTGTTTAAATCTTTTAAAACCATAAATACCATCTTTCTGTTATAACTGTTGTTTTTTTATTATTATTGGTTTGCTTACAAAGTTTGTATACATTGTTTCACACTAGTCTTCATTCACAATTTTATTGCATTACTATCATTCTCGTGTGTTATGGTTTACAAAATTAATCACTGTTGAACCTGTAAACACCATTTTAGACTTGAGGGCAAACCAGAAGCAGCTAGGTTGTAAGGTGTCAGTTCCTGTCCTAGATAGGATTGATCATTTTGCATCTGTTCATTTGCAAATAAGATTAATCTATTAATCATTTTCAAGTTACGTGGTTGAGAAAATTAAATAATATCATACACAAATACATGAACACTAAAAAATATCTTTTTAACCCCCTTCCCATTTCCCCAGCTCTTTGCTACAGAAATCTCGGCTGGCGTGGCCAAAGATGTTCTGTGCGTGAAAGTCCTGGGGCCTTGCTGTTGTTTGACCTGGAAGTGTTTGGTTACACATGGCATTACCCTGTGTGTAGCTATGAGGCAGTGCTTTAAGCCTTAGGGTGCCTCAGCAGACAGGAAACCCCGCTACGCAGATTCAGCATTTGATTGCTGATGATGCTCCCTTTATAATCCTTATTGTGTACACATCTCAGAAAGTTTTGTGATTTAGCTAAATTATAAAACTTTCATCGTCGTTGTTCTTCTGCGCTGTCAATTCAGAACCAACTCACAGCTGACCCTCCAGCAGGCTTTCAGAGGCATCAGATCACGCAGGAGGTCTCCCACAGAGCAGCCAGTAGATTTGAACCCTCTGCCTTTGCAGTGGCAGCACAGCTTCTTATCACTAGGCCACCAGCGCTCCCTTAAAAGACTTTTGTTGTTATTGTTGTTGTTTTTATGTTCTGTTGAGTCTGAAGGGACCTATGGGTGACCCTCAAGCGGGTTTTCAGAGTCAGTGAAGCACACAGGAGATGGTCCATCCTTCTCCCACAGAGCAGCTGGCTGCCCCAGCCTGCATGCCTTCAGGACTGCACACAGCTTCTTGCCACTAGGCTGCCAGAGCTCCCTTGAAAGATAGAGTTAAAGTTTAGGGGGTGAAAGGTGATCTGGAGCGAGAAGGGACGACCTAGAATTGTGTGGAGTCTTCTAACTGAGATTCTTTTTCTTTACCATCCGGCCTCCACTGTTGCCTCGGTACGAAAACCTTCTCTTCTGTCGCTAGGGAAATAGCTGCAGAGTGAATATGGAGAGGCTTTTAATGTTGTTATTTTTTAAAGATGTATTTCCTGTAAAGATCCCTGACGGTAGCAGTGGTCACTTGCTTGACTACCAACCCAACTCTTTGCTGCAGAAATCTCAGCTGGCATGGCCAGAGATGTTCTGTGCGTGTGGACTTGGCATCTGCCCTTGTAAAGGTTATAAACTCGGAAACTATGACAAGATTCTACTCTATAATACAGTCACTGTAAGTCAGAAGTGACTTAGCATCACCCGACAACGACATTTGTTTTTACATAAAGCTGACATGTTTAGTCCCTAATATGTGCCTTTTTAAGTGTTGTTGTGTGCTGTCAAGTTGGAAATCTTAGCTGAGCCGGCAGCGGGTTTTCAGAAGCAGGAAACTGCACAGGAGGAGATTGCCCATCTTTCTCCCACAGAGCAGCTGGTAGATTTAAGTCCACAATTGGATAGAGTTGCTGTGAGAAGCCAGCACTGACGGTGTGTGCCAGCAAGTTGACTCTGACCCGTAGTGAACTTCTGTGACGTAGTAGAACTGCCCCGTACCGTTTTCTGGGCTATCGTCATCAGTGGACCACATCACCTAGTCTTTTATCCAGAGGACTCACTGGTGGGTATAAATCACTGACCTTTCCCATCAGTGACTGAACACATGATCTTGATGTCACCAGGGCTAAAAGTGTTTAAAATAGGAAACTAAAAAATAGTAACTCTTGCCTGAGTTTCCCAGCATAGTTTTCTTTAGATAATTATATGACGTGTTTTCCTTGTATTAAAAACAGGGCTTAAAGCTTGTCATTGTGAAACAAGAATTTCTTTTCTGGTTTGTACATTTTTGGGTTTTGTTTTCCAGGAAGAGTACAAAATATTACAAGAGCTGTATCAGTTTAAAAAGCCATCAGCCGACCTAACACAGGTACGCTCCATTGGATTCTTTCATATTTTATCAAGTCATCATTTATATAGTGATATTGTAAAGCTTATTCAGGTGATTTCAGAGGACTGTTGAAATACGGTTGTGGGGGGTGGGTGGAGAGGTGCACGCACGCGTGTGTGTGTGTGTGTGTGTAGTGGTGTGTGTTTATTGGTGAACCCCATAAGTTGAACTTGAAAATCATGCTGTGACCAGCTTTTTCACTGAAATGGGATTCCACTTGCCCATTGGAAGGCACAGCGGTGTATAATCTCAAGTTTGCAATGTTTTTAAAGGACGATCTGGTAGATTGTGTGGACACGCGAATTCATCAGTTAGAAGATCTAGAAGCTACTTTTGCTGATCTGTGTGATGGTGATGATGAAGACACCGTGCGAAGATGGGCTTCAAACCCTGGGTGAGAACCCCAGCCGTCTTCCCTCCTGTGCTGCTGGCGTGTAGTTCTACAGTGCTGTGCCTATTAGATAAATTGGGTTTGGGGGGTTTTTTGAAGAAAAAAAAAAGTACAAAATTTAACACATTCATTAACAGTAACAATTTATTGAGTGTTTACTCTGTGCCCAATATAATTCTCAGGTTTTTACTTTCACCTACTCATGTATTTTTTTTTTTACAAACATAGACTTTTATTAAAGGCTGCTCGATCCCCCAGTGAAGATCTTTCGTTACAAAAGTTTCCCACACAACTGCAAGTTAAGAGATTGGAATGGTACTCTGAAAACAAAATATGTGAGAAATACTAGACCAAGTAAAAACATACAAGACCCCTATAAATCAACTTTTCCAGAACTCTAGATCAGGCTACTGCACTGCACTTAAGCCAGGCAGTGACAGCTAGTGCGCTGCATCAGCACACTGGGGGACTCAGCCTCCATCCCTGGGTCAGAAGACACTGGGGGAGCCATGTAAGGACTGGAAAGGCCCTGCCTTCACCTTTGACAGAGGAAGAGGAATGAATGGAGAAGGCACACTTTGTGCCTCTACTCATCTGTGTTCATCACTCGGCAGTTGCAGATGAAGGGAGATATTCAAGAGGAACAATCTAAAGAATTTTGGTTTACTTTCCCAGCTTTTATTTCTGTTTTGTGCTTTAAAAGGCCTGGAAATTTGAGTTTTCTGCTCAAATTCCAGAGTGCAGGTAATTCCCTCCATCATTTCTGGGAGAGACAAAGGGAAGGGGAAGGATTATACCTTAGTTTTTTTAAAAGGAAACACTCTTTCCCTAGAATGTAACTAAGGTCTGCAGCAATGTGAAAAGCACATTATAAAAGGGAAAATATACAGAGCAGATTACTTACTACCTATGTGCAACACAATAAAAATAATTCAAGTCTTAATTCTCACCACTCCCAGAATTATCTCACTTATAAAATTCATTCTGTGAAACTTCAGAAGTGACACAATAAATCTGATTAGACAAGTTACAATATACTGTGGCCATGATATATAACACAGGGCAAAGTTTAGTCCATCTTTTTTTCATTTACAGTTGCCAAGGGGGAAAAAAATTGGCCTTATTATACTGATGAGGTTTTCCCTCCAATTTTTACATTTTTTTCAAAGAAGTTTACAAAACTGCCCATTCCACAAAGATGGTAGGCATTTTTATTTATTCAGCACTTGAATTGCTGAGAATATTGTTTATATTGTAAGGACTGTTCTGCTTCTCTAGAGCACTGTTCTGCTTTTCTAGAGCTTTCTTTGACTTTAGCTCGTCTAACTTTCTCCATAATTCTTCACATTCCAATTCCTTCTTTTTCTCTCTCTCTGTCTTTCAGCTTTGTATGAGCTAGTAAGGTCATCAAAAAGCTTGCCATTCATTTCCATTAGCGTTTTCAGCACGTTATATACCAGTGCTACAATCGTCGGGTTCCAGTGTTCTTTGGAGATTTTGTACAAACTGCCAAACATAATTGGCAGAATTTTGTCTATGTTCTCCTCAGTCAAACTAAGAATATACTCGTTATTCCAGAAGTATAATGCCCTTTCTGCAACCTGAAAATGAGAACTGGGCACACACTTGGATATTTGTTTAAAAAGTGGCTCTTCAATTTTTTTGAACTGTGTTGGTTCAGTGACATCTAAGATTTCTTCAGTTTCTCCTAAAAACATCACCTCTTTCTTGACTGCATGTTTTTGGCCAAAATTTTAGCAATCCTCTGATCACTGGTTCTGTTAATGTTGTATCTTTTTCCAGGAACTGTACAACACAGTAGGCTAGCTGAGCATGAAACAAAGCTAATCCTTCTGCAGTATGCATAGGAATAAGAACCTTCATTAGAAACTGTTTATGTTCTGCTTTCAGTGGCAATGCAAAGCCATTGATAATACTTCCTAATATTTCTAGGAGTTCAGCAACACCATTGAAATGTTCTGTTTCATATATAAACCTGAGGAAAATGTTATTAATTTGTTTTCTGATGAATGCTCTTAATCCAAGAAATTTCCCATAAATTCGATGTAGAACAGTCTTCAGAAAGTTACGTTCTCTGGGATCTTCACTATCAAAAAGCTCCAGGAGCTGCTGGAAATCAGGACTCTCCAGAAACCTCAAGAAGAATTCATACACCAATTGAATATGAGGCCAAGAGGCCTCAAGTGTGGGCTCATCTTCTTCTGGGTCAAAATCTGGGTTATCACTTGGAGGAAGGGTCCGGAAGATGTTGGCACTAATCATTTTTACTATATCAGAATACGCTGATTCAACAATTACACCACAATTAGTTGAAACATACTCAACCAGTTCATTTAGTGTTGCTCTCTTAATTTCTTTGCTCTTCAAGTCTGAGACAGAGTCCATGAAATCAAACAGTATGAAACACTGCTGCAACTTCTGACAGAAAAGCTCTTGTTGTTCATTTGATGTGGCATAGCACGCTCTCAGCAGAAAAGGAGAGACAAAAAAAAATCATGTATTCTTTTTAAGAATATTTTAGTTGCAGTGTTACTCCACCTGTTTTATAGTTGAGGAAGCCATGGCACGTAGTTTTGCTAAGTGGCCCGTAAGCAGGCAAGGTTTTTTATCATTATACTGTAGGCTACCACAGTGTACAGTAAAGGGAAAGCTGGAGCCCATGTAAGGCAGAAACCTGTCAAAAAAGGAAAACGAAAATATTTTCCACTGAAGCAAGTGATAGAAAATAGTAAGACAGCACCCTTTCAAAGACAGACACCTTGGTGAGACTCAGGAAAACAAGGCAGTTGAGTTCCAGCTGTCCCAGACTTGGCTCTGTAAGATATTATGTCAAGTGTCATAGAGAATTAAAGAGAAGATAGACCCTGCCCTGTGTTGCCTGCGACTCATAGCGACCCTGTGTACAACAGCCCTAAACCCTGCTCTGTCCTGTGCCAGTCTCCCTGTCTCCGACACACCCCCCGCCATTACTCCAGTCACTGAATCAGTCCACCTCATTGAGGGTCGTCTTCTCCTGTGCTGTCCCTCTACCCTCCCAAGCATGACATCCCTCTCCAAGGACTGGTCTCTCCTTGCAACATGTCCAAAGTATGTCAGACGATGCTTCAGAATCCTTGCCTCCAAGGAGCACCCTCCAGGACAAATCTGTTCATTCTCTTAGTAGTCCATGGTATATGCAAAAAGGCATCATTTCTCCTTCTGTTCTCCCTAGTCATTGACCAGGTGCACCTTAGTCTCCAGAGTGACACCATTGCTCTTCAGTACTCTGGCGAGGTTCCTAACAACACTTTCCCATCACGATACATCTTTTCATTTTCTGGCTGCTGGTGCCAAGAGTATTGATTGTGGGAACAAGAAAACGAAAACTGTTAATGATCTCAGTCTCTTCACCATCCATCCTAATGCTGCCAGTTGGCCCAGTGGTGAGAATCTTTGTCTTCTTGATATTGAGCCTCAATCCATATTGAAGGTTGCAGTCCTTGACCCTCTGCAGCAAGCGCTTCAGGTCTTATGCTTTGTATAGCATAAGAGAAAAAAATTAACCTATCGATTGAAAAATAAGTTACTTGACAAACGACAGTGTTGGCCTTTGTCTCTAAGATTCCTCTGGTTACACCTTGCTACTCTTCATAGCATTGCCACAGTTCCTCTCTCCACCACTGTCGTCACCTCTCACAGTGTGCCAGGTGCTCTCTTAATACCGGTGTCCCACAGCTGTTGATGATTTGCAAGACCATATGTCTACAGTTAAGATAGTTGGAGAACATGCCCCTACTGGAGCCTAACACAATGACTATAAAGCCAATTTTCAAGGGTTCTGACACCCCAAGCTTTGTAAGTTTGTCATGTTCTGGGTATTAAAATAATTTCTCAGATCTCTAGATAGATAAAGAACAAACTAGAAACAGTGGTTTTGCTCTAAGAAAAAAAACCTCTATGACTGAAAATAAGTGTTTGAGGGAAAACTACTTTCTGTTCTGCTGTGTGTTTACTGTTCTGTGTTATTTTGTTTAAGTGCCTTCTAGTTGATTCCAGTTCCTAGTAAACCTGTGACCAATGGAATAAAATGCTGCCTAGTCCTGCACCATCTTTGTAATCATTTCTGTGTTTGAGCCCATTGTTGCAACCACTATATCAGCCAGTCTCATTGATCCTCTGCTTTAACAAGCTTGAATTAAATTCTATTAATCTCTTTCAACATTTCTTCCTTTGTTGTACCAGTGCAAGTTTCAGTCTCTCTCCTCACATCCATTTTGGTCTTTTCTCTCTATTTTTGGAATGACCTTTTGCTTTCTTCATAAAATGATATTCTTGAAGTCATCTCACAGCTCATCTGGTCTTTGGTCCTTAGTGTTCAGTGCATCAAATCTATTAAGATGAATTTTAAATTCAGTTAGGATCATGTATCGGTTCCCGTGGACTTCTCATTTTCTTTGGTTTCAGTTTGAACTTGTACATGAGTGATTGATGATCATTGGTGTTACACAGTCAGGCCTGATAGATGTCTTCCTTATGGGTGCATAGATATTGTCCTGTCATTGCTAGTGGCTTCAGGATAGGTCTTCAGATACTCATTTTGCCAGTGAATATGGTGGTAGTCCTTTACAATTTACCATTCCTAGAATAGTAAGCAACTGTTTATTTTTTACTTGTAAGTGAAATATTCCAAAAATTAAGCAAAAACGGGATATTCAGAAATATTCCTCAAATGTAACTATCAAAAAATTCCAGCTGTGTGCCAAGAAAAGCAAAGGTGTGAAAGATTATTTTCTGATAGTGTTAATCATATCAGTAAAACTTTGCCAAGCTCTCTAAAATCAGTTAACGCTTTATTTTCGCTTTGGTGTAGGAAGCCATTCCCCAAAACAATGGCATGTATTATGAAATTAGGGTTAATGAGGGAAATAGAGAAATAATTGATCTGACATGAGTCCTCCTAGTAATATTGAAAAGTATTTACTATGTTGTAATTTAAGGAGGTCTTAATCAAAGCTTGAAACTTAAATAATACACATACCTGGAAACCAAACTTTAACGAGGCCCTGGTGGGTTAGTGGTTAAAGCCCTCGCCTGTTGAGCAGGGGTTGGGAGTTCTAATCCATGAGCTGTATGGGAGGATGTGGCAGGCTGCTTCTGCAGAGCCTTACAGACTTAGACAGCTAGGCATCTGTGCTCTCTCCTCTTGGGTCACTTCGAGGCAGGATCAGTGTGGTAGCAGTGCAGTTGGTTTTCCAGAAAAGTTTGAATCCTAAATGTAACCCCTAGATGGAGTCTCCTTCCATGGAAACCCACGTTAGCCGTTGATACATCCAGTCAGCTCTTAGTCCCTACAGGGAGTTAAATTGCAGACTTAAAAAAGCTATGAGATTAAGGGAGCTCTGGTGGCCTAGTGGCAAGACGCTGCACTGCAATCCCAGAGGTATGCGGTTCAAATCCACCAGATGCTCTGCTGGAGAAGGAGGGGGCAATCTCCTCCTGTACCAGTCAGATCTGATTTAACGGTACACGTAAAAATAATACAACTAAAAAAAACTATGAGATTGTCACAGCGGTGACTGTGGGCTTGGCTGGGGGGTGGTGAGTGTTAGGTGCTGTTGAGTCGAATGTGACTCACAGTGACCCTGTGAACAGCTGCTGCTTGGAAACATGGAAGGTGAACGAAGGAGAAGGATCCCCGTGAGATGGAGTGGGTAGAGACTAGTAAAAAAAGTCAGTGCGCTACCATAGAGTGTCAGTGTCTCCTCATGCTCTCCATGCCTCGTGACCAGCTCCTCCACATGGAAGAGCCTTCAGTTTTAAGGAAATGTGGGTAGTTGGGGCCCCATAGCCCAGACAGTCACATTAATAGAAGTGACAAGCAACAGGATGAGTGGATAGGAAGACCTCTGTGTTTCCTTCTCCAACCACTGAGTGGATGCTGCCGGGAAGCAAGTGGAGGAGGCACTGAGAGGGGACAAAGTAGATAAAAATCTAATTTAAATCTAGATACATCTAGATTCATTTTAATGTAGATAAAGCTAGATAAAAGTTTAAAAAATGCCATTATCACGTACAATAGTTTAGAACTTTTAATGCTCTTTCTTTTATTTGACAATATAAAGATTGGTCTTTAGGGTTTTTCCCTTTCACTTACAGAAAGCTATGCATCTTTTTATTTTTTTTTATCAGTGTACTAAAAGCACTTTATTTCTCTGCTAATCAAAATCATTTTTAAAGTCCCAGAACTTCCATCTGTAAAGAGAAAAATACCATTTTCTTGTGTGCTATTTTTCAACCTTTAACACAATGTTTTCTATTCAGTGAGAAAGCAGTAGGGAACATTCCTTTCTTAATATTTTAAGATAATATTTGAACAGCTTTGTCATTCCCTTGCTAAGTATCATGTGAAACAGTGCTCATGCTACTTTGTAAGTGTAATATGTCATTTACTACTGTAATTTTTATTGTAGCAGTTATGATGTTTAATTAAGCAGTGTGGCTTTTTTCCAGAATGGAGTCACTAGTTCCACTTGTACAGAGTTTGAAAAAACGGATGGAAGTGCCAGACTACGAAATGGTGAATATTATATATAGATGTGTAAAACTGATCCTTTATAAGGGCAGTTTTCTGGGTAGAAAAATTTTCCCTTTGTTAATAGGACTCACTTTTATTTCTGTTCCTGGGGTGTCTGAATGAATTACTGGGTGAAGGAGTAAGTTAAATCCTTCTTAGAAGCCAAAACACTGCAAGAGTTTTTCATACAAGCTGTTCTTTTCCCAGTTTTATGTGTGTAAACTGAAAGTGCAGCACTTTCGGGACTGAGTCCCATTGGGTCAGATCTCCTCACACAGAATAGAAAGTGTATTATCCTAGAGGTGCCCATTCCTCATTCAGAGTTGCACTCCCTCCTCCCTCATCTTTCTCTAGTGGAGATTTTTGGGATGAGAGAGGTCACTTCTGGGAAAAATTGAAGATAAAACATTGCCATGACAGTGTAACTGATTTTGTCTACCATCAACTAAATGCCATGGGAAATATGATGCTTTCAGTCATGACTTCTTCTTTAAATTATTTTAAAGTCTGGGGAAAAGTATTTAGCTTTGACCCAGTTCTTGAAGGACAAAAGAGGTTTGAAGAATCCAGGTGTCTTCCCGCAGGTTTCATGACAAGACTGAGCCCCCTAAGTCTTCTGCCTGGTGATCTTGTTCTTCTTGTTCTAGTTCTTCAATAATTTGTTTTTTTGTTTTATTCAATGATACAGTTGTAGAACTCAGCCAAACCAACTAATTTAAACTAAAGTAGTATTACTATATTGCCACATTTATAGGAATAAAAGAATTTGGCCCCAAAAAATATTTTATTAAACTTTAACTCACCCACAGCCCATCCTTTTTATTGGTAGTTGTTAAGAATGATATGGAGAGGAGAGACTTAGAATTTGAAGATACTTTGAGATTATATGATGTTGAGTATCTCTTCAGGAAGATCTCCTTTAACCTCTGCATTGCATTTCATGTTTTGGTGGTTGGGGATTTTCTTTTTTAGCTATAGTTTGAGGAGGAGTGATAGTTTGGGCTTCATCACACGTTATGTCGTCAAATATATGCAGACAACTTCACTGTTGGAGACCCAGGTCATTTGGTCATCTGTGTGGACAACAAGCCTGCACAGGCTGTCATTTCCCCACGTTGACTGGCCAATGCCAGTGAAATCTTTGATGTGCCCCTAAAGCTTCCAGTTAAGAGTACAGTGTTCTGTTTTCTTTTCCTTTTCCCTCACAAGCTTTCTGCTTAACAAACTCAAGGCAAAAACTATGATCTGTTTGGTTGCCAGTTTTCATAACTTTCAAAGAGAAGTTACAAAATGGCAACCTAGGAACCAGTTCCTGCTTGGAGGCATGTGTAGTTAAGTGCTGAGATGTTCATCTAAACTTAAAATATGTATATAGATATTGATTACATTTAAAAGGTACACAAGTAACTTGTTGGATAATAAGAGGAAGGGTTTGGTTTTTCCTCTGGAAGTTCTAAAAGTAGCATTGTGTCCATGATTTTAAAAAGTACATAAAATAATGTGTTAAAGAAAAAGATGGAGGGAGCTCTGGTAGTCTAGGGGCAAGAAGCTGCACCATAATCACAGAGGCTTATGGTTCAAATCCACCAGATGCTCTGCTGGAGAAGGAAGAACTATCTCTTCCTTTACCAGTCAGATCCAATTTGACGGTACACACACACAAAATAATAATAAAATAAAATAAGGAAAGAAAAAGGTGGAGTGAATCTCTTACGTCTAGGTTTATAGTAATAAGTTCTAGAATCTAGGTGATGTGGGCGAGTCATTAAAAACTGAAATAACAAAATGGATTAAAAAAAATACAAAACTAGATAAAGCAAAAAATTATAAATTTAGTAAAAGAATTATTGCTTTAAAAAAATGTTTCGCACCAAGACCATTAAAGAAGCCCATTCTTTCAGAGCTTCAAAGACCAGATCTTAAATAACACAAAAACTTTAAGGGACTTTAAAAATCTCAGTCCTCAAAAGTACTTAAAAAGATTTGTCATCAGAACATTAATAATTATGTTGATTTTTAACTCTTTATTTTCAGGTTCACCAGGCTGGTCTGACCTGTGATTATTCAGAACTTCCTCACCACATCAGCACAGAAGAAGAAATTGAGTCTCTTGTTCAGTCCATGTGTCATTTACTGAAAAGCTTACCAAAGCCCACACTTGTTACAATTGCAAGGTAAGTGTAATAGGTTGAGTACTGCTTCCAACCCCCAGGAAGAGCCCTCCTCCTAGTCCCAAGGACCTGTAAGCATAATTACAGCAGAAGGAACTTTGCAGTAGGATCACCGTAAGAGTCTCGAAAGGAGGATTTTTCAAGATTTGGATTTTCTAGATGGGCCCTGTGGAATCACACATTTCTTTTGGAAGAAAGGCAAGAGAGTCAGAGAGAGTGTGATGCTGCTCGATTTTGAGGTGCAGTGAGCCCAGAAGCATCCTCTAGATGCTACAGAAGATAATGAAAAAGACTCTCTTGAGAAGGTGTATAGGGGATGCAGTCATTTAAGCACCTGGTTTTAGGACTGAGGACCCCCACAACTCATTCTAATACAAGCTTTTGTTGAAAGCCAGAAACTATATGGTAACTTTTTATAGCAGAAATAAAATATACAGTATTGCTGACTGATTTTTTTCCCCCCACTCACATTGAATCAGGAAACTGTATTTACTATTTCATGTTAGTCATGGCAGTGCAGTTATTTAAAGCCAGAGATGTTTTTCAGATGAACCTAGGAATTCACATTTCTGTCTTGCTGTTGTTTACATTTGATCATGTGGCACAGGCACTCTGGTAGCATAGTGTAAAATACGCTGTGCTGTTAGCAGAAGGTCAAGAGTTTAAACTCCAGACTGCTCCAAGGGAGAAAGGAAAGGTGGGCAGTCTCCTCGCCTTAAGAGTTACAGTGACCACGTGGAGGGCCACTGAGTCTGAACTGACCTGATGGCAGACGCTCCCCCAGTTTAATAAAGCTAACTTTCTCCTGTGCTAATCTTTAACCTGGTGATGTATGTATATACTGTGAGGTTCTAAATCAAGTTTACTTCAGACGATAAGAAGAATATTTATGTTATACAGCACTTTTTAGTTTAAGAACCATTTCTATTAAACACAAACACATTGAGTTCTTTTAATCATTTTATATAGATTTACATCATCATTTTAGGGTGTGGACCTACTGAGAGTGTTATTCGAGTGCTTTCCCTCCCTTGCCGCTCAGCTCCATCAGCAGATCTTTGAGAGAAAGATGTGCAGTCTTCCTCCCGGCCTGCAATTTTCAGGCTCAGAAACACAACGGAGGGTCTGCTTCAAGTTGGTTCTGACTTGACAGCAATGAGAAAGACAATTATTTTATACATACATTTATATATATAGGTTGTTGCTCTGTGCCATAGAGTCAAAACTGGTGCCTGGCTGGCCATCCAGTGAGTTTTCAGAGGCAGTAAATTAATTGCATGGGAGAAGATTGTCCGTCCTTCTGGTGGGAAGCAGCTGATTACAGCTTCTTACCACTAGGCCACCAGAGCACGGGGTGTGTGTGTGTGTTTCATTTCTTTTTAGAACCTGTGTTTGTGTGTGTGAATATATTTATATATATTTACGTGTGTGTGTGTGTGTGTGTGTGTGTATACACACACACACACACAAAATATTAAGAACAATTCATCTCTCTTAAGAACCAGTAATATAAATTGAGTGGTTCTTGACTCCAGCAGATCCATGGCTCCCTTTTTATAGCAAATATTTTTTAACATTCCTTTATCACCCTGAAGTTAAATTCGTAGATAACTACACGCATAATTTTTTTAAAACAGTACACAAAACACTTGTAATATAGCCTACCTGTACACATAAGGAGCCTTGGGGATGCAGTGGGTCAAGGATTTTGACTGGTAACCAGAGGCTGGCAGGTTTACCTACCAGATTTTGTGCAGGAGAAGGATGTTTAGTCTGCTCCCATAGAGACATACAGCTTGACCTCGGGCAGTTCTGTTCAGTCTAAAGGACCGCTGAGAGTCAGAATTATATCCGTGACAGCGAGGGGTTTATGGTAGTCAAACAAGTGGCTTATCCTTGACTCTTAACCTAAAGGTTGGTGGTTTGAACCCACCCAGTCAGAACCACAGAAGAAACTAAAACACTGTAACAGAAAGAAGAAACACAATTGTTCAACTAATATATATATATATATATATATTAAAATGCACCTTCCACATTCCTCTTCACAAAGAAGCTCATCTGTCTTGTCCTGTTCTTGGTTCCAGGTCAAGTCTAGATGATTATTGTCCGTCGGAGCAAGTGGACACCATTCAAGAAAAAGTCCTCGGTGCGCTCCGCTCCCTCTACGGAACTCTGGACATTCACCTGGAATACTCGGGGGATTCTTCCCCTTGAAACAAAACACAACGCTGAGCCCGGTGACCGCATGGTATAATAATAGGGCTTTCATTAACTTAGTTGTAAATGAGTCTTCAGAATATCTTGTGTTAACTTTCAGGCATCTTAACTCTCTAAATAAAAAGCATGACTTGTTGACTAATGGTGTTTGGTTTGTGTAGCATGCCCACCCCCAGCCGGGAATTCTTGCTTCCCTTTCCTCCTGCCCATCATCAGCTTCATTTTTAAGAGTGCTTTTTTTTTAAAAATTATATTTTTGTGTGTACCGTCAAATCACATCTGACTGGTACAGGAGGAGATTTCCCCTCCTCCTTCAGCAGAGCATCTGGTGGATTTGATCCGTGCGCCTCTGAGATTGCAATGCAGCTTTCTGCCACTAGACCACCAGAGCTCCCTAAGAGTGAATTTTTAATGCCATTTTCTCCCTGCTTTGGTTGGACTGTATAATACACATTCCCTCAACCAGCAGATAGTTTTTAGAGCACTTGGAAAGGCTGGCAGTTTGCCCTAGGAGCCTCTCTTCAGGAGAAAGATAAGGTAGCCTGAGCCCTAGATAGTTAACACGGTCATCCACGCTACAGGACAGTAGGGTCACTGTGAGTCAGAATAGACTGTGGTCCCCTGTGCCAGATATTAGGTCCTAGGTTTATGCTAGTACATGGAATAGACGAGGTCCTGCTCTCCTCGGGAGACAAGGGAGAAATGAAGTGGCCTTCTGAGAAATATTGGGAAGGAAAGGACGGCGAACTACAGACAGGCCTGGGGCAGGCTCTTAGGACTCGGAACCCTGGTCTGATAGAAAATTAACAGTCTCAAAAGCTGCTCCCAAAGCGATAAATGCCAAGTCTTCCAGTCTCTGAAAATTCCTAAATCTGCCAGCCCAGCCCTAGGCACACGTTAGACTATAATATCTTCTAGTCCCTAAGTGCCATTTGATGTGTAGCCTGGGTAGAAATATTTTCCCCCCATCTTTTCTCCAAGGAAACCAGCTTTTTATGTAAAGTAAGAGGAAAAGATAAATCTTGCCATAAATATCCAGGTCTCTCACTGACCTGTCCAGGAGGACGGGGTCCTAATTGATTTGCTTTTGATCAGACACTTCATTTCTCAGTGTGCCTGTCGCTCTATACTTCTTTTAAAGGTAGGTTAGCATTTACAAGGACAAAAAGAACAAAAATTCCCGACATTCCTTAAACACAGCATTTGGTCCTGGTTTGGGATGTAAGTTGCAGACCTTGACCACCTGTGTACCCGAATATTTACACGTGCCTGACATTAAAGGACGCTGTCCACCTTTGTGTCTAGTCCCCACGTGCACATTACTAAAGCCATGCAGTCGGTGGCACCAAACCGCCTTTTCCAGCACTTTTGTTTTCTAGCACATTTTTCCCAGCATTGAGGTTCTTTCTCTGAGCGGAAAGCATGAGCATTGTGTAAAGAAACTGATTGCAAGCATATGATGTTCATTTTTACGTTTTGCAACTATTGCTAGAATCCTATAACTAGAAGTTACTCGTATGAGTGAATTGTTTTGCATCCTTAAAGAAATAAAAAGTATGTTCTAGAGTTTTAAAGACTTGAGCTTCTGCCGTCATTGAGGGTTTGCGATCTCGGTGTGTTGACGCCATTGATTTTGTGGTTCTGGTTCACGGGTGTCCCCCCCCACTCCCCCTGCAGGTCCCCTAAACCCAGATGCAGGTCCTCCACGCTTCAGTGCAGGTGAGGCCAAGAGGTGGATCCCCTGTAGAGAAGCTTTCAGGCTGTTCTCATACTGTGTGGCATCCAGTCTGTCCACGTCCTACTTACTGAAGAGAGCCAGCGTGGTCAGTTATGTCTCTGAGCTTTTCACATGACACATAGTTTATGCTTTACCTGTGTCCTGATTACCAGCAAAACAATACGACAGTGCAGGACTTGGAATATGGAAAACATGACCACTTGCTATGCATCTGAGAGCTGGACAGTGAATAAGGATGATGGAAAAATTGATGCGTTTGAGCTGTGATTTTGGAGAAGAGCACTGAACATCCCATGGATGGCCAAGAAAACAAATGGCTATATCTTGGAGAGGGTGCAGCCAGAGTGCTTTTTGGAGGCAAGAATGATGAGGCTTCAAGTCACATACTTTGGACATGCTGCTAGGAGGGCTTATTTCTTGGAAATGGACATGATGCTGGGAAGGGTGGAGGGTTGGCAAAGGAGAGGAAGATCTTCAACCAGATGGATTGACATGGTGACTGCTGCACTTGGCTCTTGAGTGTCAGGAAATGTGAGGACGGCACAGGATAGAACAGGGTTCAGATCTTTGGTTCATTGGGTCGCTATGAGTCATACTCGACTTCATGGTACCTAACAACAACAACGACAAAAGCACTGCTCAAGAAGGAAATTTTGAATAGTTTGTTTTGAAAAACTGACTTACAGGTAAACATGGGCCATAGCTTTGATACTTCACATGTATGCATTTCTTGGTATCTAGAGAACATAATTTTTTTTTAAAGTCCAGATTTGGAAAATACCCTTTTGACTTGCAGTTCTATCTCCTAAATATTTTCTACAGATGTGGGCCTCATGTTCTGTGTCTTCCAGGAGCTCTTGGCTCATGTCCTCATCTTTTTTGGGATACTTTCTTCATTCTGTTTTCACAGTAGTGGCCCTGGGTCACTAACCGTAGACTCAGTTGTGATAGCAGTAGTTGACACTTGCCCTCTCACTCACCACACACCTTCAGAGAAAGCACTTTCAGGAAATATTGAGAGTTTTTGTGGGTCATCTTTCAAAAATGATGAGCTCCATTCCTGACTTCTCTTAAGTGACACCGATGCCCGTACTCAGAGCAGCACGTGAGCACTGCCTTGCCATCTGCCCCATTTGTGCTGTTGTAGGGCTGTATGTGAACTAATTGACCCTGGCTGCCTCTGCTCTGGGAGTCGCGACTGCCCTCCTGCGATTACAGATATCAGGGCCTTTTCTCTCTCGTTTTGAGTTCACCCAATGCAGCTGTGGTCACAAAGGAGTTTCCAGTGAACTCTGATTCTTGGAAGAGGTTATTCCGAACAATGGCTGCTTCCTCCCTCACTAGAAGTTGTCTCTTCTGCAAATTGTAAGGTGTGCTCTTGGCCCTCTTGCCCTGTGAGTTTGGTTTCTGTGATTCACTAACGGGACACGTGTCGGGGGCAGAGACACGGCTCGACAGCGTCGCCTCCTTTGAAGACCTTCCTTGCCTAGTCAGCCGGCCTCCACCTGACCCTCTCTTACCGCTTTAACTTGGAAATGCGCCTCAGTGGATCTTGTAGAGCAGATCTTGCCATTCACACTGTTGGGGTGAAGCCACTGGCGCCCCGGTGATGCAGATCTGTGAAGACTGTAGTAAAAGAGGCATCAGGATTGACATGCAGTAGAGAGGGGGACAAAGAATTTTCTGGATGGCAGTCAGGGCACCTTCTTGTCAGTCTTCTGAATCCCCGACTCCAGTCTCCCCTTCTTCATGTTCCAGTTGTGTGACCTCTGTAATCATGGCTTCTCTCTCTTTTTTTTTTTTTTTTTACAGTAAGTACTTAATGCATCAGACTTTTGTGAAGAGTAACACATTGAAGCCAGAATCATCCAGTAAACATGGCTGCTGCTTCCAAACTCGGCCCCCCTCAGACTATTCTGTGGTGACTCCCCCAGATCTCAGCTGCTCTTCTCCTGAGTCATCTCAGAATGGTGATTCTTCTAGACCCCTGTGAAGCCAAAAGTCGGTCCCAACTCAGGGTAACCCAGGTGCTGCGAAGTAGATAGAACTGCTTCAGAGTTGTTCTTGGCCGTAACCTTGACAGAGGCAAATGTGTACACCTTTTTTCTGCAGTACCTCTAGGTGTTCAAAGCACCAGCCTTCTGGTTAATAGTCACACACAAACTCTGCAACATCCACGGACCTAAAGCCCTTCTTGCTCCCACTATAGCTCTAGTGGCCTGGTGGGTAAGGAGTTGCAGCCGCTCCTAGAGATAGAGATGAGCAGTCCCATCCTGTGCCGTTTACAACCTCTGAAACGCCCCGGAGGGCCAACTCCAAGTGGTTCCCCTGCGACATAACAGAAGGTCAGCAGCGTATTTCCATGAGTAACGGGATTTCCTGTGGTCGTGATTAGATGCTATCGTATCAACTCCAGCTCCGAGTGACTCTGTACAGAACAGACCAAAACCCTGCCCAGTCCTGCACTGTTCTCACAGTCTCCACTGTGCTTCAAACATTGCTGTGCTCACATCAGTCCCTCTCACTGATGGCCATTCCCTGATCCTCTGCTTTGACCAGCATGTTGTCCTTTTCCTAGGACTGGCCTATTCACAACATGCCCAGGGTTGTGAGACAAAGTTTCACTGTCCTTGCCTCTAATGAGTGCTTGGGCTTCACTTCTTCCAGGATAGATCCATTCTTTGTGGCAGTCTGTCCAGTACTAGCTTGACAATTCAAAGGCTTCCGGCTTCCTTACCCCTTAGTCCAGCTTTCACCTGCATGTGAAGTTACTGAAAATACAACCGCTTAAGTGAGGCCTATATTAAGGTTGGAAATCTTTTGTTCAAAATCCCAGCCTGAATCTGTCCTTTTACTTGCTCCGCAAAGAAAGGAGGAGTCCTTGCTCATAAGGAAGGAAGGATCAGAGCTTTAGCAAAGGTACTTAAAATTTATGACTTAATGTATTTCAAATGATGCAAGCATCTTTTGATTAACAATTAGGGAGAGGTAGGGAAGTTGGAGTCTTCTCAGATTTTTTCCTTTTTACACCTCCCTATACTCCTCTGTGTTTTGTCAATAATTCTAGAATTTCTTATGCAAAATTTCCAAGTAGGCAATGATTTGGAAGAATATGGCTTTCAATAAGGACTACATCTCAGTATCAAGAAGATAAAAATCCTCAGTACTGGGCTGATAAACAGCATCATGATAGATGGAGAAAAGGTTGATAATGATGTCATCTTACTTAGATCCACAATCAACACACTTGGTACCTACC